GCCTTTGTTCTCTTGCATGAGCCCCCCTCTGTCTCTTCCTCTAAGGACACCAGTCCTATTAGATTAGGGCCCCACCCTTCTGACCTAATTTACATTAATGCCCTCTTTTTGTATATGTATATTTATATTTTGGGAGAGCACAAGCAGGGAGGGGCAGGGAGATGGGGACAGAGGATCCGAAGTGGGCTCTGTGCCGACAGGCTGACAGCAGTGAGTCCGATGCGGGGCTCGAACTCACAAACCGTGAGATCAGGATCTGAGCCAAAGTTGGACGCTCAACCGACAGAGCCGTCCAGGCGCCCCACCTTACTCCCCTCCTTAAAGGCCCTGTGTCCAAATACAGTCACTTTCTGAGATACTCGGGGTTAGGGCTTCCACATAGGAACTTTGGGAGGACACAATTCAGCTGATAACAGGGTGTTGTACCCAAGCTTGTGCAGAGGTTTGAACTCAGGGCTGACCTACCCCAAAACCTAAGGCTTTTTCCTGACCCACACAGCATCACAAGTGACTTGGTAGAAAACCAGTCATCAAACCTTGCCTGTTAGGTCCCAGCTCTGGGTGAACTTGCCTCAGGCAGCCAGCCATGGTGAGTGTCACAGGGTGGCCCCGAGCAAGCGGTCAGGAGTCCAGAGCTGTGCATCAGTGTGTGTGTGTGTGTGTGTCCAAGGGTGACAGGGACAAAGAATGTGACAGGGGCTCATCTGTCTCCTCCCTGGCATGTGTCCCCTCTCCCCTTGGCAGGCTGGCTCCCTCTTCTGCTTTTACTAGCCTTCAGCCTGAGGCTGGAGCTGGGGCCAGCCTTGGAGAAAGCAGCCACCAGCTTTCTGCAGAGAGACTGAGTCACGCCCGGGCCCTGCTACTCCTGCTTCTCCCAGGCCTCCCAGTGACAGCTGGGTACAAAGTCCTGCCCATCGAGAAAAAATCTCAAACAGGCCCTGAAGATGCCTGGCCCGTGATGGCCTCACAACACCTTAAGGTGGCGTATCCGATTTGCCCAACTATGAGCTGGAGGGACGAGGGGCGGGCCTACAGGAGAGATGCGCAGAGAACAGAGGCCCTGAGAGGGAAGAGGGGCAGAGAGAGGGGGAGAGAGCCGTCTGGCTGCAGCAGACACCCCCCCTCCCCGGTCCCCCACTACAGACACACCCATCTTCCCACTTGGCAGGCCGAGGCTGTGTCTAGAAGTCTTGGCACACATTTGCAGACGCGATTGCTGTGTATGCCCTCAGTTGGCCTGGATTCCGGGACCGGAGCTGCCTCCTGCTGGGCAGTGTCATCTGGGAGGAAGTGGGCAGCAGCTGTGGCAGGAACCAGGCCCTTCCTTCGCAGGAAGGCTATATAGAGCTGGGCTCTGGGGACGAAAGTGCCAGCTCACAGCGGTGGCTTCCCCTCTTCCCCAGGCACCACGCGATTTGCCGGGAAACATTCTTTTCTGAGGAAGGCTCTCCAGGAATCGTTTCAGCCCACGCAACCCTAAGCCAAAAGGAAACTCCAACATCTGTTTGCTTTCAAAGTCAGAAAAACCTGCTGAGCAGTAAGGGTGGGAAGAACCTCGGAGACCTGGGCTCCAGCCCAGCTGGGAGCCCTCAGCAAGTCACGGAACATCTCCAGCTCCCTCTTTTTTTTTTTTTTTTTTTTTAATGTTTATTTACTTTTGAGAGATAGAGACAGGGCACAAGCAGGGGAGGGGCAGAGAGAAAGGGAGACACAGAATCTGAAGCAGGCTCCAGGCTCCGAGCTGTCAGCACAGAGCCAGACATGGGGCTCAAAGTCACGAACCGCGAGATCATGACCTGAGCTGAAGTCGGATGCTTAACCGACTGAGCCACCCAGGCACCCTTCCCTGCTCTTAAAATGAGCGTTTATATCCCGATTTCCCAGGCTTGTTGCAGGGACCACACAAACTCCTGCCGGGGGGGGGGGGGGACAAGCAAGGGAAGCCTCAGATCTTTTTGAAAAGGTAAAAATAAATTGAGGGCTTGCATATATGGGCCGGGAGGTCATTCACGGCCAAGGTTGCACAGCTGAGGTGATTAAGTGGACTGAAATTCAATCTGGACTCCAAGATTGGCTACTCCTTGGAACAGCACCATGTCCGCTCAGAAGAAGAGATGCCTTTTCCAAATCTATACGAAGGCACTCTATGGTCTATAGGGTAGAGGTGAGCTCAAATCTGGGGGTTGCTGAGCCATGCACTGATTTTCAGCTTAGTGTGACCAGTTTGATGACAGCAGTAAGCACAGGATGCTCTGGGGCCTGAGGGAGTGGAGGGTAACCCACTTGGATGAAGCAAAGAGGGCTCCCTGGAGACAGGGATATTTGAGCTGGGTCTTGAAGGATAAGGAGCTGGCCGAGGGCAAGAGGGACTAGAACTGCAACATCACCAGGAGACAGTCCGTATGTCCCTTGCATTTCCACATGTCTAGTGACGGGTCATTGACAGCTTTTATTCTAGTCATCTTTTTAAGAGTATTTGAATAGCCTTGAATTATA